GAATCAGATATCATGAGAGCGGAAATTAATATTGAAATGTAGGAATAGGGAGCATAGGCGATAGTGGCACGAGTATTAGAGAAATTAGTTAGAAGGGACAACGCTTAGAAGATTGGTAATTATGCCAACTGCAGATGTTGCAAATAGTACCTGGCCACGGAAGGCATTAGATATACATTAGATATAGATTAAAGGTACATTACATACGGAAGACGAGCACGCAGTAGTCTGGGCTAAGATAAGTAGCCACGAAGCAACGCATGCAGAATAAAAGTAACCAGGGACATTTTGGCAGCCAGCCAGAGGCAGTCCAAACTGACGTTAGATAGACTCGGTGGTCACTTGTCATAGGAATGTCCGACGCCGAACCAATAGGGGTGATGGCCGAAGCGGCCGGCGAGGCGAGAAGGGACGCGCCGGACGGTAAGGGCACGCCCATGGATATAAAAGGGGATGCGGAGAGAGAACGTGGCCCTTTATAAGGACAAAGTGCTGTGCGAAATAAAACAACGTTTTCCCTGTGACAATCCTACTGTTCGCTTCATAACCGACTTGAATTTATTCACCGCTACAATAGCTTTATCGCACCTGTCATTTCACGTTGACTCTCCCGATGAACTCATGTCTACCTGCCATCCGGTCCCGCGACCCTGGCTCGGTCACGTAGTCCCAACTGCTGAGGAGGAAAGAGAAGAGGAGGAGGAGGAAGGGGGGCAGTTTCCAAGCACTCCACGAGAAATGTGAATACATGACATGATTATTGGCAGCCACCTTCCCAAAACACATTTTGGCACGTGGCTTTACGCTGCCCCAAAAGACGCGCACACACACACGCACGCACGCGCGGACGGATGCGCGCACGTACACACACAGACACACACACACACACACACACACACACACACACACACACATACACACACACACACACACACACACACACACACACACACTAACATATACGTGAAAGCATGAATGGATGGATGGTTGCATGGATTGATAGATAGATTGATTGATAGGTAGATAGGTAGATTGATAGATAGAAAGATTGATTGATTGATAGATACACAGATAGATAGATAGATAGATAGATTGATTGACTGACCATTCTTAATTCTGTGTACACACAAGATTTATATCTCAATAAATGCTTAAAATGATATTAAATATATTGTAGGTTGGGCATTCGTGTACGTAGTTCGTTCTGAAGAATATAAAACGCGAGCTATAACGAACTTCAGCAGTGAACCCGATTCCTGCAAACTTTTAAATTATTACGGTTAGCAATGGCAGAAGAAAAAAGGAAAGGAGACCGACCGTGTCCCATGCGAAATTCTAGAATAACTCTATTTGCATCGCTATGGCAACGGCATTGCCGTGAAAGATTTATTGATTACAAGTAGATCGCTGCCATGTAAAGTGTGCAAGTACTTCATTATCAAAACATGAATCCAAGACAAATATATTGCATGTAGAAATTTTTTGAAATTACACGAAAATCTATCATTCATTTATTTGAAAAATACATATTAATTTCATACCGGCAATTCATTAAGTACTTGTGATATCACAATAATTTACAGCAAGTGATACATAAATAAATAAATAAATAAAAGTATGAATAATTGAATGAATAAATAAATGTAATAAATGAACTAATTATTAATGAATTAATGCACAGTCACTGACAGCTGAAGGTTTGAAAGCTGCATTCAGTCCGTAATTTCTAACCGGTTTTATTTATCGCAGGTGTCAGACAGTTGGTTCCAAGCTTTAATAAACATGCTTTTGATAAATGCTACATCTTCAGGCTTTGCTTCACTGACCGACTCCTCCATCTTCTCCCACAGCTCCTCAGCGCTGAGCTTTATAAGTCCGCTCTCACTCACCACCGGACCACTATCAAGACGTCCCAGTAACCCATCCACGTGCCGCTCACGCAAATACGCGACCGGCACGTATGCGATTGTTTTACCGCAGTCCTCGGCCAAAACATTGTAATTATCAATATAAGGATGCGGCATGTTGCGATTATTTGTACACGATTGTACATGCTCAAATATTTTACGCACGATTACTGGGAACGGCAACGGCTTCGCTGGGTTGAGTGATGCGACATGAAGCAGAGCAAGTTTTAGAAGATAGGAGTCAATCAGTTTCCTAGGCATAAAGCGGGTGGCGATATACAGCTGAATAACGTCTATGATACTTCTACGTAAATATAAAAGGCCAGTGTCTGCAAGCATCTCATTCTTATTCGATTTAATATTTCCACACTTATAATAACAATCATGTACTCGTAGATCAAGAAATGCCTTTGCTGTGATGAGAGCCTGGCGATAAACTGGATGGAAACTTATGATCATATTGCTTTCCGCTACTGCCGTACAGACAGACCAGCACGTATCTGAGTCCACGCGAGGCTTGGGTACCACGTGGTAGTGGTCATAAGGAAAGTTTGTTGCGCCAGCTGGCTTGCCCGAGATTCGTACTCCCGGTGTGCAATCTACCGATATAGGTAGAAATTTAAAATGTCCGCCGCCAACAAATATCATATCAAATTGAGTGCACACTTTGTTCCATGCCAAAATATGTGACCTTTGTGTTTTGAATAAATGCTCTCCGTTTTTCATGACATTCGATACAGCCCGGCACAATAGCTGAACAAATTCTTCCTTTAGATTTACCGAAATATGCTGGTCTGAGTTTTCCTCGCGAATTGTTACAAAGCCAGCTGTATTAGATTTTGTGTTTTCAATAATTAATTTTTTTCGATATCTATCGATTTCGAATAGGAAGTCGTATTCGTCCGGCAGACCAGCTTTTGTGCGGTTGGCCGTGCTGCCTATCAGAATGGGCGTGCAGGAGAAGTCACTGTCTAAGACTTTCATCTCCTTGCAGACTCGCTTCATCAGGTCTAGCACGGCGTCCCGCATTTGATCGCATTCCCCCTGATGTTCTAATCTTCCTAAGCCTGGCGTCTCCCATATATCAGACAGTGACGTCACACCACTGACATTACAGGGTGATATCTTACGTTCTATGTCACAATAACAATTGTCGGGCAGCTCACTGACAAAGTATTGGTGCTGCAGTATAGCGCCGGCGGATTCTCTATAGCCGTCGTTGATGGTGACCTTACGGGCGCGATCTACGGCCGCCTGGTACGCTGTTTGCAAGTCCTCAGGATTCCACGCCCTTATTTTATCCAATAATTCCGTCACAATGCGTGCGTGACCGCCGTGGGCAGCACACGTCAACACCGTGCAGCCACCGTTACTGCGAATCTCCTCCACACGCGCTCCTGCTGCTAGTAGCTTCATGACACACGACGTATGACCTCTCTGGGCAGCACACAACAACGCCGTCCAGCCATTCTCGCTCGCGTGTTCTATGTCAGCGCCCGCACCTAATAACGCTGTGACCATATCCGTATTACCTTGACCAGCTGCTTCCATTACTGCGGTCCAGCCATTTACATCCGCGTGGTCTATGTTAGCGCCCGCACCTAATAACGCTGTGACCGTATCCGTATGACGGCTAAGAGCTGCTGCCATTACTGCGGTCTTGCCATTCTCGTCCACGTGTTCTATGTTAGCGCCCGCACCTAATAACGCTGTGACCATATCCGTATGACCGGTAGCAACTGCTACCATTAGTGCGGTCAAGCCATTCACGCAGGCGTGTTCTATGTTAGCGTCCGCACCTAATAACGCTGTGACCGTATCCGTATGACCTTTACCACTTGCTGCTATTACTGCGGTAAAGCCATCATCGTTCGCGTGTTCTATGTTAGCGCCTGCACCTAATAACGCTGTGACCGTATCCGTATGACCGTTATTAGCTGCTGCTATTACTGCGGTGCTGCCAATCACGTCCGCGTGTTCTATGTTAGCGCCCGCACCTAATAACGCTGTGACCGTATCCGTATGACCGTTACCAGCTGCTACTATTACTGCGGTGTAGCCATCATCGTTTCCGTGTTCTATGTTAGCGCCTGCACCTAATAACGCAGTGACCGTATCCGTATGACCGTTAGCAGCTGCTAGTATTACTGCGGTCAGGCCATCTACGCCCGCGTGTTCTATGTTAGCGCCTGCACCTAATAATGCTGTGACCGTATCCGTATGACCGTTAACAGCTGCCACCATCACTGCGGTCCCGCCATTCACGGTCGCGTGCTCTATGTTAGCGCCTGCAACTAATAACGCTGTGACCGTATTTGTGTGACCGCTAGCCGCTGCTACTGTTACTGCGGTCCAGCCATTCACGTTCGCGTGTTCTATGTTAGCGCCCACACTTAATAACGCTGTGACCGTATCCGTATGACCGTTAACAGCTGCTTCTATTACTGCGGTCCTGCCATTCACGCCCGCGTGTTCTATGTTAGCGCCCGCACCTAATAACGCTGTGACCGTATCCGTATGACCGTTAACAGCTGCTGCTATTACTGCGGTCCTGCCATTCACGCTCGCGTGTTCTATGTTAGCGCCCGCACCTAATAACGCTGTGACCGTATCCGTATGACCGTTAATAGCTGCTGCTATTACTGCGGTCCTGCCATTCACGCTCGCGTGTTCTATGTTAGCGCCCGCACCTAATAACGCTGTGACCGTATCCGTATGACCGTTAATAGCTGCTGCTATTACTGCGGTCCTGCCATTCACGCTCGCGTGTTCTATGTTAGCGCCCGCATTTAATAACGCTGTGACCGTATCCGTATGACCGTTAATAGCTGCTGCTATTACTGCGGTCCTGCCATTCACGCTCGCGTGTTCTATGTTAGCGCCTGCACCTAATAACGCTGTGACCGTATCCGTATGACCGTTAATAGCTGCTGCTATTACTGCGGTCCTGCCATTCACGCTCGCGTGTTCTATGTTAGCGCCTGCACNACTCTCTCTCTCTCTCTCACTCTCTCTCTCTCTCTCGCTCTCGCGCGCTCTCTCTCTCTCTCCCTCTCTCTGTTTCTCTCTCTCCACCCCCTGCACACAGAATAAATTTCTGTGTGTCTCTCTCTCTCTCCTTCACTCCCTCAGCCCACGTCCCTCCTTATTCACCCACCTCCATTCCCTACTTCCTCCTCCTCCTTCCCCCTTACCAATGCTTCCCCCCCATAACCCACCACTCCCCCATGATCACCTCGTGTGACGTCATGGAAACGATGGCTTGACGTCGTCGCGAATTATTCCGATTTACAATGTTTGGCTTTAATCTTTATCATCTCATTCTTTATTACTTTGCGCAGCACTCTTTCGGAGGATACTTGATAACCGACGCTCTGGAAAAAAGCAAGTTGTAGAGATGATCACACTGTAGAGGGAAGGATGTGAGCGGATGGGAGGGAAAGGGGAGGGACGAGGGTTATCACACTGTGGAGGGAAGAGGGAGGGGAGGGGAGGGAAAGAGGAGGGACGAGGGTTATCGCCCTTATTGTCATCAGGATTTTCGCAGATGAGAAGTTAGTAGTGCTTACCTGGCAGTTAATTAGCATGACAATGACTCGGATCATGCGATCCTTTCTCTTTAGGTCGCTGTATGTTGATGCTTAGCATAAATCGTTAACAATAAGATGCAATTGTCAAAGAACGCAGCACGTGTTGGAAGGCATGGGAAGAGAACCGTAGCAGGGCGGAGGAAAGAGACCGGACAAGATAAAGGAACAGGAGGTAGAGACAGAGAAGGAGATGGATGCGTGCGAAATGGGGAGAAAGGCAAGAGGAAAAGTAGAGGAGGTAAAGGAGGTGGAGAACTATGAGGAAGAGGAATTAACAGTAGAGAAGTCGTTGGAGAGGGAGAAAGAAGAGGAGGCAAAGAAGGAGAAATAGAAGAAACTCAGCGGAGTGGAGAAAAAAAAGAGGCAGAGACAAAACTCCAAAGATGAGAAGGCGAAGGAAGCAGAGAAAGGATGCGAAGAAGAGTTGGTAGAAGGAGGGGAACTACGACACACGTGACACGTACCATGAGTTCGTGCATCAGGCAGCCAGCGGTGCGAGACTGCAGGCCGACGGTAGCGATGGTGCTGCGAACATAGGTCTCCGCCGTCGGACAGCCCGCTCTCACATCCCTCTGTAACGTCATGTTGGTTGACACGAATCCCGGCGTCACCACCTGCAACGATCGAAACGACAATGTAATTATTCCGGTAGTTAAAGCTATATTTGCGAG